GTGCAGTAATTAGCACTCCTGACTGCTGCGCCGACGGTCGTGGTTTCAATTCCCAAATCTTTACTGGTGGTAGGACCTCTTGTGAGTCCACACGGGTAGGTACCACCGCCCTGCCTATTTCTGCCGTGAAGCAGTAATGCGTTTCGGTTTGAAGGGTGGGGCAGCCGTTGTAACTATACTGAGAACTTAGAACTGATATCTCAAGGTGGGTGGCGCATTTACGTTGCAGATGTCTATGGGCTCCAGTAACCACTTCGCACCAAGTGGGCTGTGAGCTCGTCCACCCATATAAGCAATAAAAAAAATAAAAAACAAATATTTTTATTATTACAGCAAATATAACATGCCCTAGTAGTGTCATAACGTTCATTAAAGTGTCATATTATTATATACTGGAGGTCCCGCAGTAGTCGAAATTCAACTATAATTAATTGGAATTGTAAGTTTGTACACAATTATGATTGTATTTTATACTTCCATAATCTCAAATTTCGCCAAGACTACACTATAAAAAATATTAAAAAAGACAAACAATATTTAATCTATTCTCAATTTGACAACAGACGTCAAGAACAAAAGTTTGACAATAAATAGTATGCATGCGTGTGTGCGTCAAATACATGGTATGTAGTGTGTGTAATGTTTTCTTTATTGATTTAATGTATCTTAGATGCATTATTTAAAAAAAAAATTAGCATTGTGCACTTCTTCTCTATATTCTCTATAAGTATGGAAAATTTCATACTCCTCCGTCCGCGCAATTTTCGTAAGAAGGGATACAAAGTTTTTGCTTCACGTATTAATATATAGATTATAAACTATATCGGAAACTTTATTGAAATACGTTCAGCCTATTTTTGCGTGATTATGTAACAAACATTCAAACATGCAAAATTTACATTTAAACTATCCATTATGTCAGTATAAAACGTTCCTGACAAAAACAATTGTAATTTAGATTCGCGGTTTCCATTTCTTGCACACGTTAAAGGTAATATTGTTCATTTGTTATTAGTAATGTTGATACTCAAGCAATAATAATACAATGAGGATGGTTTTTTTTTCCTACCTAAGCTAATAGCCTTGAGAGACTATTTCAGCTTAAGCTTAACTAGTAGGTGAGCTCACGGGGCTCAAAGCCCACCTGATGAAATAGGCAGGGTGGTGGTACCTACCCGTGCGGACTCAAAAGAGGTCCTACCACCACTTAGGTACCAAAAAAAAAGTCTTATGCGAAATTCAGGCATCTGTCAAATATTTTGTGTTTTGTTTTGGCTACCGCCAGAACACGTTCAGCCTATTCTATAAACGACTCGTATCAACTTTAGTTAACTTTAGTGTAATAACGAGATTATCAAGCGACTACCCCCAATAAACAGCTTAGAAAAAGTATGTATCAGTTCCGACTACCAACTGGAGCTTACTCTACAATTTCGATTGTCGTTGGATATATAACAGTTTAAAGGGTTAAAAGGGCTAAACATATATATATATATATAGGGTTCTTGTACATAATACTGAAAGCATGTTTATTTATATCTATTCAATTTATTACGAACAAATTTAAGTTTAAATATATTAATGGTCCAAGTGCTGCCATCTATTGTTGACAATATAAGACTAGGTTTATGGTCGTTGTTATAGTAACGGAAAATTTATTTATTTTAAAAACTTTTTACTTAGTTACCTAACGCTAATAAGATTAAAATTAACATAGTTAAATATACTAATAATTTAAACTAAACCTTTATGGTAATTATATTAGTATCATTAACAATAAAATGCTTTAAGGTACATACAATAATGCGCGAAAACTCACGGAGCCCCTTTGGAAAGTGATGTAGCTAATATTTCGATTTCACCGCCATGTTACCGCATGAAACTAAAAGAAATCGTTAAGGCACGGTAATTCGTAATGAATCAGATACATAAAAATTACTAAAATAAAAGAAATGTTTATTGAGACAATAATTAAAAAAGAAAAAAAACATATTAATGTCTTGAAGCAACAGCGGGAAAACGAATAAAGAGTATTTTTTATTATTATTTTAAGAAACAAAGAAATATGAGATAATGATTTCAACTTTTTGAAATACATAAGACGAAATTTTTCAGAGACGAAATAGACCGCTCCTGTAAGGGGGACTCTTCCTCCTTTGAAAATGAGTTCAGATTACATAATGTTTATAAAAAAATATATAAATCTATTTTAAATTGTATTATTATTATTTTATGGATTTTTTCTGAAATAAATGTTTTATTATTATTATTAAATTTAAAATAAAAATCTTGGATCAAAAATAATTTTGATCTATTGTATTACGTATTATAAAATTAGTAACAAAATTTACAGACCTATTATAAAATAAGTAACAAAATCTATTCTAAGGTTAACTAAAGGTTGCGCGATAAATAGGGCTTAGGGCGGCATCAAGCCTAAATCCATCACTGGTAATGATAGTCTAGTAATTCTTCATAACACAATTCAGATGCAAGGTTGTATTGTCATTAATAGCAGACGCAACATTAGCTTAAGGACTCGGGAAACAGGATGAACTGGTATTAAATTAACTCGAAACAAACACGATTGGAATAATAAATTGATAATTATCTTTGGCTTAGATTGATTGCTGTTTTATTTATAATACCATTATGGGCAGTAGCGACTTTTATCTGCGAGATAGTACTGAATAGTCCTCGTGGCTTAAAGGATAAGTCGAACTTTTTTTTTTATTGCCCTTGTAGGCAGGCGAGCGTACGGCCCACCTGATGGTGAGTGGTTACCGTCGCCCATGGACTTCAGCAATGCCCGGGACAGAGCCAAGCCGCTGCATACCGCTTAATACTCTCCCAAGCCTTGTTTTACTCGAATGTTACTTCGAGATGTACTCGAATCAAACGATATCCTGACAGTACCAATTTATTTAAACTTATCACCGGAGTCCTTGGTAATCAGCCTGTTACCCACTTTAAGGTCAATGTTGTGTCTAAGGATATCCTCTGGAAATAGGACAGCGGCATCATGGGCAGTACGGTGATACCTACCCTTAACTTCCAATACGTACTAACACCAATAAATATGGAGGATCGCATATTCTACATTATTTTAAAACACGAACGTGAAGAAATGCTGTGGCGTTATTCTAGACGAAAACTGTATACTTAACGAAAATATCATTAGTTTCAGGAGTTAGGACAGGAGAGCCCTTCTCCTAGTCACCTGGGGTCGGCGCAACATGTTTTCTCCTTCCATACTCCTCAAATACCATCTATCCGTTCATTCCCCTCTTACACGTTTATTTTATTTTTTTATTGCTTAGATGACTGGACGAGCTCATAGCCCACCTGGTGTTAAGTGGTTACTGGAGCCCATAGAAATTTACAACGTAAATGCGCCACCCACCTTGATATATAAGTGATATAGTTACAACGGCTGCCCCGCCCTTCAAACCGAAACGCATTACTGCTTCACGGCAGAAATAGGCAGGGCGGTGGTACCTACTCGTGCGGACTCAAGAGGTCCTACCACCAGTATTCTACCACCACATCGTCTTTCACGCAATCCATCCATTTTTTTCTTAGATCCCCTAGGTCTTCTAGGTTAGGTATTTATAGAAGATTGTTTTATTTATTAAAATGTAATAAAACAATAAACAAAAAAATCTTCTCTATAAATACTTTGAATTATCCACATTATTATTCGTAATCCGTTTAATTTTATAAATCGTCCTGCAAACATAATAAGGACGTCTTGTTTTTAGTTAAAAGGAAAATTCATATGACAACAAGACACGCACATAAGTCAATTCGAATTTACATCTGATTAAGTATCGCACAAGAGACGTAAGGTAAATACGATCTCCGGTCACCGACCTCGTCGAACCCGTCGCTTGTGACGAAGGGCTCGGCGAGTGAATTAACCCACAGACACAGCCCACTGAGTTTCTCGCCGGATCTTCTCAGTGGGTCGCGTTTCCGATCCGGTGGTAGATTCTGCGAAGCACTGCTCTTGCTAGGGCCAGTGTTAGCAACGTCGTCAGGTTAGAGCCCCGTGAGCTGACACGCTAGGGTAAAGCTGAAATAGCCTCTAGAGGCATAGATTGAAAAAAAACAAGGTAAATGAGATTTTTTAAACGAACTAGTGTATTCCGTCTCAATGAACCAAAAAAGCTGTTATTTTTCTTTATTGCCTTTGTAGGGAGACAGCCATACGAACCGCCTGATGGTGAATGATTACCGTTGCTCATTAATGTTTTAATTGCCACGCACCATCCGGCTATGGAATGAGCTCCCCTCCACGGTGTTTCCCGAGCGCTATGACATGTCCTTCTTCAAACGAGACTTGTGGAGAGTATTAAGCGGTAGGCAGCGGCTTGACTCTGCCCCTGGCATTGCTGACGTTCATGGGCGACGGTAACCATTTACTATCAGGCGGGCCGTGTGCTCGTCTGCATACAAGGGTAATAAAAAAATAAAAAATGTCTACGCCTCAAGAAAATCTAAAAAAATACTCATAATAAGAAGCTTGTGGAGAGTACTTAAGGGTAGGCAGCGGCTTGGCTCTGCTGCTGACATTGCTGAAGTACATGGGTAGTAGTTAGTAACTTTAAAGAAAGCCGCCACTCATCTTCAGATAATGAGGTCTAAATCTCAATTGTATCATATAACGGCAGTCCCGCCCTTCAAACCTTATAACAGAAATAGACTCGCCAATGACTTTAACCCTTTGACTGCCGCGTAGGTCACCGGTGCCCTACGCGGCGCCCTGAAATAATCATGCCGATTTCCGTTGACCCAACCGAAGACGCAACTTCTGAATTGACACTAAATATGTATTTCATAAGCATTCATATGCGGAATTTTCTATTAAAAGCACCTGGCACTAGCGACCTTAACCCTTTTCCTTAATCAGCACAACAAAGTTAATTCCGTCCACAGATCTACGCTTCCGCTACAATCTCGCGTAGTTGCTACGCTCGACCAGTGACGTAGCCTGACGTATGGCTGACAGAAGCTACGTGTACGAGCCGGTCTCCACCGAAGCGCCAGTCAAGACGCAAGCGCACAGCATGGAGCAGGGCCAATTGTGGAGACAGTACATCATAGCCGGCGTGGGTGAGTAAAACGTAATATTATCTGTGGTTCGCGGAGGGCAGAGACTTAGGATGCAGTGATTGGTTTTTATATCCTTTTGCTATGTTTTTTTTTTAAATATGATAAACGTAAACTGAAATTAATTACAATGTGACTATTAATTTTAAAAAAAAGTAATACCGTGGAATTTCATTGCACTACCTTGTAAATAATAATTTTGAAAATAATAAAAGAAATAAATTTAAATATTTTATTATTCAATTACACACAGCTGCTATGTTCCAATAAAATAATATTTGAAGTGAGTGTAGCAATAATTATTAAATATATATTTGAAAACACAACGCAATACTTAAGAATACGTGCATGGGAAATATAAAAACCGATACCTACATGTTATTTTTTAAATGAAGTCTAGTGCTGCATAAAAATTGTGTAGTTAGTATCCAATCAACAGAATTTATTATCTATGCATTTACTGTAGAGCCATTAAAAAGGGCACAGATAACAAATTTCAATAATTACATATGTCATGAAGACTTAAAGGAACCTTCTTTGATAAAATGTCCAAAGAAAAAAAAGTCATTAAAAAAAAACAAATATGTAGGTAGGTACGCGATTTTTATCAAACTATTTGGCGATGTTTCGAAAAACAAATTATGTTAATCGATTTATAATTGATTGGTAGAAGAATTAAAAATTTAGATGACATAGGTTGATAAAACCTGATAATCAGTATTGGTCAAAAATATCACTATATTTACTTATCGTAAATGTACATCGATTTGTAAATGCTTAATTTATAATGTCATAAATAAAATTAATATAAAATAATACCAACATGATAATATTTTATTGAAACGCAATTCGCAAAACAACACGTTACAATAACAAAGTATGTCTGAAGCGAGTCGAAAACAACGCACGTGTGTTTTGATGGCATCAAAATGTTTATTTCAATCTATTTTGTCATATCGACTTTAGTACGAAACTCTTTAATTTGCGAATTTCGCGAACGAATTACATGAATTTCGTCAACAACCTAGTTATCCGAATGTTTTGGCAACGAAATGTATTTTCGTTTTTGATACTACTGACTGAATGAAAACAAAGCGACGATAGTATTAGTTGTAGTGGCGGGAACGAGACGCGGAAAATGCGCGGGAACGCCGTGACTAAGCGGAACGGGGAAATGTTGCGCGGGAAATGAAAACAACGAATGTTAAAATAATATGATGCTTAATATTCGTGAAGCGATTCCAACGTGTGATCCGGAATATACAAGTGTAGATATAATAACTGCAACTAATAGTATAGGAGCTAGCAACGTTTTCGAGAAAGAATTTCAGGTCAGCTGATTTTGTGATATGTCGTCCTTCTTGCTCTTTCGGTTAGAGTCTGGGCTATCTGGCTGGTGGTAGCGGTTGCGTTCGTTAGTGCGTATCCTACCTGTCCAGGTAATAATCCTGGATTTTAAAAACATTGTAAGGGGCATAATGTTTTATTTTGTTTGTTTTTAAATAAGTCTACCTGACATACCCTTTTTATTGCCAGACATTTTTGACAATGCTAATTATGTGCCATACACGTTTTTTTTTTTTTTATAAATGTTTCGAAGTATCTTTTAATGTCTGTAATTTTAATATTATGTTATTTAAAGATAAGAAAAACTTAAAATTAATTTGCCAGACATTAATTCGATTGTTAAGCCTTGAACTTACTGGTGGTAGGACCTTTTGTGAGTCCGCACGGGTAGGTACCACCGCCCCGCCTATTTCTGCCGTGAAGCAGTAATGCGTTTCGGTTTGAAGGGTGGGGCAGCCGTTGTGACTATACTGAGAACACTTAGAACTGTATCTCAAGGTGTGTGGCGCATTTACGTTGTAGATGTCTATGGGCTCCAGTAATCACTTAACACCAGGTGGGATGTGAGATCGTCCACACATCGAAAAAAAAAAAAAAGTCATGAAAAGTATTCCAGTATGATGCTAGCAGTCCGAGAGAAACAGTTGCAGAATAAGTCGTGAATGGGACAGAGAACCATTACTAAAGCAAATTAAAACGACATATCACAAAATCAGCTGACCTGAAATTCTTACTTTTCAAACGTTGCTAGCTCCCGTACTATAACAAGAACGTGTAGCCTTAAATAAAAACTAACGATCTTATTTATATCGAATTGACAAAATTTTATGAGTCCATTGTAAGATAAATTTCAACGCAATCTTATCAATTTTATTCGCCAATCTTCGGTTACAGAGCTATATAATACCTAACCAGACTTATAGCTGACTATATGAATAATGTTTTTTTGCAGTCTTCTTAACTCTTCGAAATAATGAACTTTTGTCTGATCTACTATTTACTACATTAGCGGCCTTGAATCATACACATCCGGGTTTTTTTTTTAAATTCAATTCAAAGTGATCAGACGTCCCTCCTTAAAAGTATAAGTAAAAGTATAAATCACTGGTGGTAGGACCTCTTGGGAGTCCGCACGGGTAGGTACCACCACCCCGCCTATTTCCGCCGTGAAGCAGTAATGCGTTTCGGTTCGAAGGGTGGGGTAGCCGTTGTTACTATACTGAGACCTTAGAACTTATATCTCAAGGTGGGTGGCGCATTTACGTCGTAGATGTCCATGGGCTCCAGTAACCACTTAACACCAGATGGGCTGTGAGCTCGTCCACCCATCTAAGCAATAAAAAAAAAATTTTTTTTGACATAAAAACTTACTATTTCTCAGGCAAGCATGGTAAGAATACACGGGTCCTACTAAATACTCATTTCGGAAACTAACTAAAAAGTATTAAATCTGTTACTACGTATGTACGATAGTTAGTTACAGATACAAATTTATAAAATGTAGCAAAACCATGTAACATGAGTTATTAACAGATAGTTAAATTTATTTAAAAGAAACATGTCTGCTGGATTCGTCTAAAGCACCTGAATACACAACACGTATGTAAATTGTACGTTTTATTTAATTATAAATAAAATAAACTGCTTAATTGTACATGTTTTTACTTTATCAGTTGCAGTGTGAATACGGTCACAAATAATTTAGAGATACTGAGAAATTCGTAATTTTTAAGCTGCCTTGTTCAAAATCATTTACCATATTTTTTTTTATTGCTTAGATGGGTGGACGAGCTCACAGCCCACCTGGTCTTAAGTGGTTACTGGAGCCCATAGCCATCTACGGCGTAAATGCGCCATCCGCCTTGAGACATCAGTTGTAAGGTCTCAAGTACAACGGCTGCCCCACCCTTCAAACTGAAACGCATTACTGCTTCACGGCTGAAATGGGCAGGGTGGTGTACCTACCCGCGCGGACTCACAAGAGGTCCTACCACCAGTACATATATAAACACCTCTGTAATTTCTTCTTAATCGCACACTTCGTACTATACTACTACGTGTCCTTGATAAGCCTTCGTGGCTCTTGATACAATCATCTTCCACTTCTTTCGGTTTTCTGTTTCCCTCAGGGCGGTTTTAACAAAGAGTCGCGGTTATCTGTACTAACCAACGGTTTGATGACCGGCGTTATGGTCTTTTTCCTTCTACCTTTCCTAGCATAACCAAATTTTCTAGTTTGTAAGTATCAAACAACATTCGTAGCTAAAGAGAAAATCTTCTAGATCCAATACACTGGATAATTAATCTGTTTGTAAAATTCGTGTTCTCAGACGATACACATTTATAAAACGATCGAAAAATTATACTCAGTACCATTTTTGCTCTGCACGCAATGTACAATAAAAAGAGTAATGTATAGCGCTATGTCCATTGCTTCGTGCAAGACAGCGTAGTGTTCGCCAGCTGTCTTACAGGGGCTCACCAAATATGAATCGAAAAGTATCAAGTATGCTTGACTTAGCAAATTAATATTATTTTTTCGCTCATAAACATTACAGTAGATCATAGAATTTCAGATTTCATAACATTAGTATATGTACATGCGTAAAAACGTTGTATCGTCATAACATAAATAAATAAAACTATTATTTATTTTTAATTTTTTACCTGAATTTCAATCTTTTCAATTTTTCAAAAATTTCCCTCTGAATCAGTCGGTAACTTATCCGAGAAATAGGTGATCGGCGCGCCTGGTAGTTTCCCTTCTTGGTCTTGACGCAGACACTCCGGGTCTCAGGAAAACAAAAAATCGCTAATCCTGATTATCCTAGTAAAGATAACAGATCAAGCTGTTTAAAATATTGAATTGTCATCGGTCCTTAATAAGTATGCCAAACTTCGAATTAATCCGACGTTTTGAAGGGGGTCAAAATCATGTTCAAAGATTCCGTTACATACTAACATACGTATGAAGCTAATAAAAGCGTATTAAAAAAGTGAATTGATTGAATCTTCAAGCTGTGCAATGTAAGTTATGTAGAATTTAAAAGAAGACTCATAAATTCGTAATCAATAAAACCCGTATAAACATTTTATGGCCGCGATAACTATTGCTATCGTTGTAACTACGGACTTTGGACGCTCTAGTATTTTGATTTCTGTGAACATTCCATTACTGGTGGTAGGACCTCTTGTATATTACTGGTGGTAGGACCTCTTGTGAGTCCGCACGGGTGGGTACCACCGCCCCGCCTATTTCTGTGAAGCAGTAATGCGTTTCGGTTTGAAGGGTGGGGTAGCCGTTGTAACTACACTGAGACCTTAGAACTTATATCTCAAGGTGTGTGGCACATTTACGTTGTAGATGTCTATGGGTTCCAGTAACCACTTAACACCAGGTGAGCTACTAGCTAGTCCACACATCTAGGCAATAAAAAAATAAAAAAAAACATTATAATTAGAAAGGTTTTCTAAGTAGTGAGAATCTTGAAGTTTAAATTCTCCGTCTTAATTTCCAAGCGATTATTAAGGTAATAATGAGATGAAATATCAAATAGTGTGCTGTCTAATTTTTGGTTAAACGTAATAGTCAGAAGTTATAAACTGGCCATACTTTTTCTGTAAGCAACTTATAAGATGCACCGGTGTTCGAATCG